TGGGGTGTCATACCCCTAGTCTAAGGTTCTCATAAATAGGTAGAGATTAGTTAAGTTTGAGTCCTTAGTAGAACAAGTGGAACAGTCTCAAATCAACCATGGGATAGGGGCTGTCTCCTGATTCCAACGATTGGTGCTAAGGCAAGTTCCTAATTCCAATGGTTACTGATAATACAACATGAGTTTATCAATCTATTCCTATCTCTAAGTGAACTCCGCCAATAATCATGCTATGTATAACTTACATATATTATGCATTTAAATCAACCAATCACATCACATGGACTCATATATCTATACTCACATACCCAACTCACTCCACATGCAAAGTATCACATTTTTAGAAACTTCATAATGATTAGCTATTTACCAAATCATTAATTACCAAGAGATGATTTGCCAAAGGTTTCTATTTTCATAATCATATCGCAATTCACAAGTTCATCATTTTGCCAAACATTACATCAATAGTTAAAAATATCAATCACACTTCACAAAAATTAATTAGCATTCAACTATATAAATTAGGTTTTTCCTAATTACCTCAGACCTTTAATAGGTCAAAAGTTTACCCCTCACAATACTAACTTATAAAGCTTCTCATGAGCTCGAATGGTGTCAATTTGAACCACACTACAATCATAAAATAAGGATATTATCATTATTCCTATTTTGCTCAATGAATTCATATTTATAATTTTAATCAATAGATCTTATGAGATTAATAAATAATATATATTCAAAATATTTCTATAAAAAATAATAAATCATTGATTTACAAACTATAGCAAAAATTTTATTTGTAAATTGTAAAAAAGATTTATACTGTATTTCAAATGTAAAGAACATATTTGGGAGTTATAAATTATATATTTAAAAAATATTATCATTATTGTAGATTTATAAAAAAAGATATAATGTGATTAAAAAATAAAAAATTATTTTTTAAAAATATGCTAGCCTACGGGCTAGCCTGTTTTAGCCCAATAATTTTGCGGATTGGGCTAGCCCAACTTATTTTAAAAAATGGGCTAATTTATTCAACCCAATCCATTAAATTTTATGGGTTAAACGAGCTAGCCTACAGGCTCAACTTGTTTTATGTAACATCCTAAGTTTTTCCATTAGTAATTATTAGTTTTTTAAGGGTAATTTGGTCAATTTAGATAAATTGTTGATTTAGCGAGGTTTGTGGTAGACTAATGTGGGTCTTGAATCCTCGGACTGCCTTAAAAGAGGACTAGGTCGATGTTCAAGTGAGCCATGGCACGAAAGAAAGTTTAAAATTTTGTGGGATTTTCTATGCCATGCGTTGCGGCGGGTGTGTTAATGTGCCGTGTGTACTTATAAAATCTGCACTTATTAGACGTGAAAAATAGATTGAAAATAAAAAGAAGAAAAAGGGATAATAAGAGAGCGATGGAGGAGAGCCTATGGTTACTTTAGAGGCATTTAAAGCTTGAATCACCGTTGAGTAAGTTGCATATCCCCTCTTCTCCCTCAAAGAAAATATAGATATTTAAGGTAATGGGGGCTTTGATTTTGATTTTCTTAGGTTTAAACCAAACATATTAATTTATTTTAAGGTCTTGGGGAGCTAAGTTAAGCCTCTAACCTTAAGTTTATGAGTTTTGTGGTGATTGGAAATTTTTAGTGAGGGTTTAGATGAACCTTAGGTATAATTTGAGGATTTTGAGATAATGCGGGACATTGGTTAGCGAATTTGGTGTGTTGGGATGTTTAATAGGATGGTTAGAATGTTTGGGAATGGTTGATGTTGTTAGAAAAGGAAATTAGGTATTTTAGATACATAGAACCTAGAAAATTCAGAGTTATCCGAAGTGATAATTGATGATTGTCACTTGATTGTGTAAATTGAGCATTGCTCGAGCTATATTTGGTGTATGAAATGTGTTGAGTTAATGTCGAACCACAATAACCCTTTTGTGTGTGATAAAGGGTTGAGGTAATAGACTAATTTACATTGATTGATTATATTGCTTAAATATTTATGAGTAGATATATGAATTTGAACTTGAGATTTGATAACCTTGCATATTATGAAATGTGGTTTTATGTATAAAAATTTGTTTTTGCAAATGATGAGTATGATGAAAATATATATAAATGAGTTAAGAAATTTGAAAAGTTTATGTGATATATATGTTGAGTGTGGGCATGATCATGTTAGGGGTGGGAGTTCACCCATAGGAAGGAGTAATGGAAGTCCATATGGCATATATCTCCTTAGTGTCTAGTGAGGCATAGTGTTGGAGATTTTCTCTTTAACATCCATGCAGGATATGGTGTTGGAGAGTAACACTTCTTAGCATCAATGATGCGGTGTTAGAGTAACGACACCTTGATTCATGTGCGATAGGGAAAAACCGTAGTCCAAAAGTGAGATGGGATACAGTTAGCCGAGTTATTCTATCACTGAAGGTGAGTTCAGATCATTATAAATGTGCACTTAGTCTAAGAGCCTATGGTTTTGATCGAGGTGATATGAAAGCTCGGATGGTAGAATGATCATGCTAATGGTAAAAGATTTGTACTGATGAAGGGAGTATGTGGTGATATGCTAAACGTATATTTTGAATTTTCATAGTTTACTCTCTTATGATTGTGCATGTTAATAGTAGTGAATTATTCTATTACTGAGATGTTTATCTCACCCCATAGTTATATTTTATAAGTGAGGGCTCCGGTAGGGGTTAGGAGAAGGAAGGAGCAATTGAAGAGTGAAGAGCGTTGTAGTATAGCTCTTCCATTTTTCTTTTGGGTTGGTAATAGATATTGCCATTATATATTACCAACTTAGGAACATGACATTATTTTGGATATCACTTGTATGAATTGTGATAAATGTGCATATCTTGGTCCAGGATTGATATTGTGGATTAAGTGTGTGTGTGTGTGTGTGCACGCGCGCGCGTGCTTGGCTAAGTTACACTTATATGTGATATTTATTTTAAGTGTTTTGTGTGCCTAAAATGACCAAGTTGATGTGTGTGATAAATACAATCCACCCCGTTGTGTTATTGTCAAATGGAGATTTAGTGGTTATTTTGAGTGTGATTGTTTAATTGTGTGATATGAATGAATTGTCTTATTGTGTGTGGTTCATTTGAGGTAGTTAAAATGTCTCTGGGGCTAATGGCATTTGGTATTGTGAGTTGGATACCCCTTATGTGTGTTTTGGAGTGAAAACGAACCATTTTGGGTTCAAGTATTCATCTTTTAAATGGATGATTATTTAAGTGTAAAACTAGTACCATTAGCTAGAGAGCTCAAAGAGTTTCGTGTGGACACTTGAATTGCCCGAATCAGACATTGGATGGCGAAACGACATGCTTTGGAAGTTCGGAGGAATGTGATGACAGCAAACTGCCTTCATGATAGTAGGTATGCAGCGCGGCACATGGTTGTTGCACCGCAGCGCAAGAGGCCTTCGAGAGACTTGTTCCTCCGTGCCATCTACCGCAGCGAGTGTGGCGCAGCAGAATTTGCAGAAGAATGGCATTCTAAGCCTAATTTTGATGTGGTTTGTTACCCATGCTTCCGTATTTATTCTAAATTGATTTTTAACCATGGTTTGAGCTTAAACAATATTTTTTTAAAAAAGGGTTTTCTTGGGATCTCAATATTTTAAACTAATTATCTTTAAATCCTTAGGTTGTGATAATTTCAGTAAGGGATTTTGTTTAATCCTAATTATCACAACGATATGTGAGAGTTGTTTTGGTAATGTCAAAGGACATTACATTTTCCTGGCTCTATTCACATCTAATTGTATTTATGAGTCGTGGTAGATTGTGCACACATCGCAGCATGTAGCATAGAGAGCTTCTCTTTATCTTTTCCTCTTCTTTCCTTGTCCGGATGGCCAGATTTCAATTCAAACCCATATCTTGGGTTAAAATCTAAGCCAAATACATTAGTTAGACTCTGCTGGCCACATACTTCATCAATTCACTAATCACACTCATTAAATTAATTAATTATACTTAATTTTCTCAGATGTTACAAAACTTATTTGCAGATAAGAACTAATAACAATTTTCATTCAAGGAAAAGCAGGTCCATATTTTCATTCTAACAATAATCCATTCTGTATTGATTATTGTTTGTCAATAAGTTTTTTTCCATCCTTAGATGTGATTTCCCAATAATTTTAGATGGCAAAACACTATAATATTGTTGATTTTCTTTTTTTAATTAATAAATAGTCATTCGTTCATTAACAAATATTCATTCGCATTTAACCAAAAGCTATTTCCTAATTGACTAGTTCAAAAATATGAACGAGGTTAATTGTGGGAAGCGACAAGTGTAACTCATATTTCAACAAGTATTCATTAATTAACAAATACACATTCATATTTAAAAAAAAATCTATTTACTAATTTATAAGTTCAAGAATCTTAAAAGAGTTTGGTTATAGGAAGAGATAAATATTGATCAAATTTAATAAATAATTATTTATTAATTAACAATACTAATTCACATTTAACAAGAAGTTATTTATTGATTGACAAATTCAAGATTTTAAAAAAGTTTGGTTGTGAGAAAAGATAAGTGTAGACCATATCTTAGTAAATAGTTATTAATTAATTAATAAATATCCATTCATATTTAACTAAAAAAATCACTAATTGATAAGTTTAAAAAAGAAAAAGAAAATCAATCTGTTCCTAAGTCTTGCAATAATATTTAATATTTTAATTTTTGTTTGAAATTAAATTATCTTTATATTTTCCCAAAGGAAGCGAAATAAGTTAGAAAGGGCTTAAAAAGAGACGGAAATAACAGCAGCAAACAAGGGTGCCGTAAAAGGCCGGTCTGAGCATCACGCTCGGCCGGACACATCACTCTGATCTCTTCCAAATGAAGCGCGCAAAACCCAAGTCCCATTCCAAAACTTCAAATCATTCTCACAATTCTTCTCCTTCTTTGAAATCGTTCATAGAACCCCCTCCTGATTTCTTTCCCTCGAAGCACGAGTTCCTCAGGCTCATCGTCGTCCTTGCATTCGCATCAGCAGTTGCTTGGACATGCAATCTCTTCTTGACATCTTTTATTAATCCCTCCACCAAGCCCTTTTGCGATAGCAACGTAGACTTTCCGGATTCATTTTCCGGTGAGAGCTTCTTCCAATGAAATTATTTTGTTAGCATGACTGTTTAATAGGTACATAGGGGATCGTGAATAAGAAAGGGGCAATAATACTGACTTTCATTGCATTACTTCTATTATTCTGGAGATCACTTATGTGCTTAATTCCGGTTTTATTTACTTTCTATCTAGGAAATTTCAGAATGATGCTTTGCCTCTCATTTTTGTGATAGAATCAATGTCTTTATGGTTTAGTGTGAACCTGAAGTTCGAGATGCGTCGCCCTCATCTGATTCTTTCTAGTATAAGAAAGCATTTCCCATGCTATGGTTTGAATCTGATTGTCGTCGGGTCGCAAACTTGGATACCGGGAAAATGGACACTGACACGATGGGGATTTGCATTTGTTTGCATATGTAATTTGGAGTATCAATGTCAAATACACATTGCACACGCACATTCTCCTTTCTGTAAGTTCCTGTCCATCATATTTTGGATATGAAAAATAACTAGGCTTGATTGCCTGCACATAGCAATAGGTGTTGCGTTTGGCTTTCAATCGTAGAAAAACTGTGGCTAGATTTTTTTTTTTTTACTAAATATCATTGCTATTTACTAGTCAACAAGCCAAATCGCCGCATTTGGTGCTACAGCTGTAGTCTGAGCGAGTTTGAGACATCTGAATGTGACTATAACTTTATGCAGTGTAAAAATGAATTGCACTTGGATGGCTAACAAGTAATCCTTATGTCTTTGGAACTTCTTTTTCCTATACATTTTTCCCCTATAAATCAGTGATCCAATACACTTCAGTGTTATCCCTAACAAAGTTTATCACTTGTTAAAATACATAATTGACCTGTTTTCTTCCCTTCAGTTCTTTGAATAGAAATTGCACACAATCATGTGTCAGTGTTCCATTTAATATATATTTGATGTTGACTTTAGAATTTTAAGCATCATATTGTTGTTTCATTCATTTTGGTCTGACATAGATGTCTTATTGATGCGAGCACCTCAGGGAGTTTTTTCCACGCTTCATGTTACCTCAATAGTTTTCTTGTGAGTGTATTCGCTGCTTTATGATGTTGTTAAAATGTCATAGGGTCAAGCTATAGTTGTGGATTTAATATTTGTTTCCTGTATAGACATTAATTTCTTTTGACTGCAAACTATTGCAGATGATTGTGAACCTTGTCCAAGTAATGGAGCATGTTACGATGGCAAATTGGAATGTCTCCAGGGCTACCGAAAGCATGGGAAGTTGTGTGTAGAAGATGGAGATATTAATAAATCAGCTAAAAAAATTGTATGTTCTTTGAATTTTATTTATTCTTGTTTACTGATACTGAAGAATGAGTGCTGCCTTTTTCTTTGCTTTTTTTTTCCCATGTTATCTTTGAATTTTATGCATGTAAGTCTGACTTGCTGTTCTTTGTATGATGTTATCACAGTCGGACAGAGTAAAATGTAGCCTATGTGAAGATTATGCTCAGTATTTGTGCTATGGAGTCGGATCAGTTTGGGTCTGTTGACACTTTTAAAAGTTTTAACCCTCTGATTGTGCAGTGTATTTGTATCCATATCAATATCATTCTCTAATGCTAATGCAATTTGACTAGCGCATTTTTCATTGATGGTTCTGAATTCTCATGTGTAAACACAAAACCCATTTCAGGTTCAAGAGGATGAAATATGGAAACGTTTTGATAATTTTGAGCCAATGGAAAATGTTCTTCTGGATAATGCACTTTATAATTATACGAAACAAAGGGCGATTGAGACAATGGCTAAGTTAGTGGAGATGAGGACAAATTCTCTTGGGTATATCATATTCTCTTACCAATCTCCAAGGATCGGTTTGGTGACTCTTCTTTTTGTCATGTGTTTACTGAGACTCCAGGTATTTGATATCCTCCTGTTTCGTATAGGATGAAGGAGTTTAAATGTCCAGACTTATTGGTGGAGCATTACAAGCCATATTCTTGTCGCATTCATCAGTGGGTCTCCCAGCACATTCTAGCTGTATTACCAATTTGTGCCATGGTACTCCAGTCTTAAAGACATTCTTTAATGCGTATGTTCTGTTGTTAATATGATTAGACTTATTAACTATGTTGGGATCAAACAGCTTGTTGGATGCACATTCTTCATCTGGAAAATCTATCTTAAACTATGCATGTCAAGAAGAGTTGAAGAGCTTTACAACCAGGTATGGCTGAACACTGTTGTTTATTTTTGGCGTGCTCTAGCCTAGATTTTGTTATGTGATAATCTGATATTTCATCAAACATTGTCTATCTGTTGAGTAGAGTTCTTAGATAGATCACTTTAAATGATATACTGGTTCTGAAAGATATCTATGATGGGTAGTGAAAGAATGTTCATGACATGCTTCATGAATAAATATATTGCCATGGCCATGTTTGTGTGATGAGCAAGTCCCTTCATTGAAATTGTTTCAAAGCACATTAACTGAATACTCACGCCACTTGTTATTGTTGATGGTACAACAATTATAGGGTATTGTTGTCCATTGGTGAGCATGGGATATATGTCCCCACCATACATTATTGGATATGCATTATACTTCTGTAGCTTATAAGATAAGTGTAAAAGTGTCATTTCTTCTTCTTTTGTTTCTTTTTTTTTTTTTAAAAAAAAGTGTCCCAACTTTGTTCAAATTGAAGTCTATATACAACAATAACAAGCCTTCTCCCACTAGACAGGGTCAATTATATGGATTGTACGACGCCATTGTGCTTTGTCATTTACCGTGCTTTTAAAAATGTTTTTACTTAAGAGTTGTTGATCAAAAACTTTCAAAAGTGTTCTCTGTGGTCTTCCTTTACCTCTCTTAATAGGATTCAAAGTTATCTGTTTCATTCTCCTCATTGGTACCCCCGCAGTCTTCTTTATATATGTCCAAACCGTCTCAAACAATTTTCCACCGTTTTCCCTTCAATAGATGTTACGTTACTTTTTCTCATATGTGCTCATTTCGAATTTTATCTTTACATATATGTCTGCACATCCATCTCAACATTTTCATCTTTGCTACTCTAACTTTATACTCTTATTGTCCCATTAAAGCTCAACATTCACTACCATATAATAGCTAATCTTATAGTAGTTCGATAAAATTTTTTTTAAATTTATTAGATACCTTATGATTGTAAGTAACTTCTTTATCCTTTTTTCAATTAAACCATTCAGCTTATATCCTATGCACAATATCCACATCAATTTCCCTATCATGTTGGTTGACCTAAAAAATTTGTGATCATTTAATGGCTCCCAATTAACCAATTGTAAATATGTTCAAATTGAAGTTTATATATGACATCAAAAACTAGAACTCCAGTCAGTGCAACGGGACGATCGTTGAGGTGGCAAATAAATTTAATATTCAGTTTTTATCAGAAAGAGAAAAAAACAGTTGCATCTTTTTTTTTTTAACTCCTTTATATTGTACTTATGACAGCTGTTCATGGCTTATATTGTATAGCTGATTAATTGTGACTTTACTCTGACTCTACTCCTGTATTCACTTCAATTGCCCATAAAAAATAACGGTCCTTTGTTGCTGTGAAATAGGTATGTGAAATACTCGAAGAGAATGCAGTGATGTCAAAGAATGTTAATGGTGAATGTGAGCCTTGGATTGTTGCCTCTAGACTACGAGATCACCTACTTTTGCCAAGAGAGCGAAAGGACCCTTTGTTATGGAAAAAGGTAGTTGGAGTTATAATGAAATGAGCTGCACTTGATTATTCTGTTATCATCCTAATAATTGATATTAGCATATTGAAGCAACTTGTAGATATATTTGTCTTCAAGTTCTTCTGTTGCAGTAGTTTCCCCACACTATGGTATTTGGATATAATCTTTTCTTGTTCTAGCTGCCTGTTTTTTCAAATTTTTCTGCTCCTCTGCATCTTATTATTAATCTTCAATTAGAAAATCATATTTCTTCTGATCTTGAAGCTTCCACCAAGATTGAGATATGCTTTGGTGCGGTATGTCCCTTTAAACAATTCCAGAGTTGGGGCTTTCAGTTTTTTGTCATTATGCTTATTAATTGATTAAGGATGCAAAACTTTAAAACAAAATATCTGGTCAAGTTTTAACCTAGATATTTGAAGAGCTGATGTTCATGGCTGCATTGTGGCCATGCCATTCAATAGCTGTTGACCTTTAATTACAGCTGAATGAGATGAACATGTGAATGAATTTTTATTACCAAGGTTTTAAAAACTAGACTGGCCATTGAACCAGATGAGACACTACTTCAAGGGTCAATAGTTCGATTGTGGTTGAACCATTTATGATTCATTTTATATATTTTAAATTTGGATGTTACATTTTACATTGGAAATGAAATTTTATAAAATATTACAAGATTAATGGAGCAATAAAATTGAAAAGCAAGAAGGTGAAAGATTATCTTCTCTTTAATTTAGCAAAGAAGTTCATCTTGGATGTTCAAAATCACTCTAAACTTGGTTAATTTTAAGGAAAAAGTACACATTTGATCCTTTAACTTCTAACAAGATTTCATTTTGGGCCCTTAATTTTATAAAATGTCTTTTCAATCTTATAACCGTAACACCATCAATTTCATTAACAAAAATTGCTGACATTGGACTTTTAATATTGAGAAAATATTTTCAAATGTTAATATATTAAATTTAAGTAACTAAGGTTGGCACATAAAATCATCATTTGAGACTAACAGTGTTAAAGTTAGATGACTAAAAAGTTACTTTATAAAATAAAGGACCAAACTGAAACTTTATACAAAATTAGAAGATAAAGGTGCACTTTTGCCAAATTTTAAAAGCAAACATTCTTTATTTATGAAAACTAAGAAAGCATGAAGCACTTTTAGGATTCTTATTTAGACTAAATTAAGAATATAAAGTTTAAAAAAAGTATAGATGAATAATTTGAAGTACAAAGATTAGACATATTTGCTAACATTTAAAAGATGATGCAAGGTTTAAATAAAATAATTCAACAAAGTTGAAGGGAAAAAAACAGAAAAAGAACTAAAGATTCAATAACTAGGAGAAAAGAAGTCCCACATTGTAACATGAGAGTATAAAATAGGGCAAGCTGCAGGGGAGTGAGTGGCGTGTGATGGGTTGAGTTATTTTTTGTAAAAATTGCAACTCTTGCCCCAATTCTAATATTTTGTTTGGTTCTTTTTTTTCTGTTTTTTTTAATTCAAAATTTGGTCCAGTTTTTATAACTGGAACTGATCCGGTTTAGCTGGTCTTTAACTGGTTCCCTTTTAAGGCTGGTTCTTGGGGTTCTTCAGGATTGGACCATGAGCTGGTTCCCAGTCAGTCCAGTCCAGTTTTTTAAGCCATGTTTACTGCTAACTTGATGAATCATTGTTTTAGGCTTTTGTAATGCCTTTGCTTTGGGTCACAGTTGGAAGAATTGGTTCAAGAGGATTCTCGAGTAGATCGCTATCCGAAGCTGGTGAAGGGCGAATCCAAAGTGGTATGGGAATGGCAAGGTACTTACCAATTATGTTGAACTTTTGACTCGTCAATATATTCCAAATAAGATGTCATAATTGAAGGGTTTTCATTAAGTTGCTTCCACAATTCAGATCACTAGTAATATGGTCATGGTTAGATCCGCTTGAACCTGTTAGACAAGATAAATTCCTTCCATTATAAAGATCAATGAATCTGGTGTTATCTTTTTGATGGCTGAAGGACTATCTAGATCAATCTTTTAAACTAGCCGTGGCTTCTGAGGTCATAATTGATGTATCTTGCATTTTGATGCTTGTGCAAGCCACATGTTCATGTCTGTTATTGTATCCAGACCATTTCAGGATGGAGAAATATTTTTCTTGAGTATAACTAATTGTACTTTTTCCTCTATGCTTTATAGTTGAAGGCTCTCTAAGCTCTTCAAAGATGAAGAGAAAAATAGATGCAAGCAAAATGAAGGTCAGTGAAGGTGCAGATCTAAGTTCCCAACAATGTCCCATTCCAAAGACTGGTTAGTGTTATTGTTTTTAGCATATGCTTTAATTTTACCAGTTTCTTGATTTAGTTGAAATGATTGTTGTGGTGTCAAATTGATGCAGAGGCTAAGGAACTACTTTTTTGACACAAGGTCTTCTTTGAATAATTACTCAAGTTTCAACTATGCTGGCTGAAACAACTTGGATATCAGCCGAAGGCTAGTTCTACCTTGTTTGTATAGAGAAAGGTGGGTAAGCTATGCTCTCCGGTGATTTCATCCATGTGCAATCCTTAGTTTTCCCCCTTGTCAACTCCCTTGATTGATTTCTTCAATGTTTTATGGATGCTAGGTTCAGAATCTTGTTTTATGTTTACAGCACCAAGGGGCAACATATGTGGCAATCGTTTGCATTTTTTTTTTCTTTTGACATTTTTCAATATCGGTGCATTTCATTTGTTTTCTCATCATCGACCTTTAGTTTTAGTTCCTCTAATTTCAGTATTCTGATCACATTTGGTTGTCATATGGGCATGCTAAACCCCTATGACTTTGGGAAAATTACATATAAGTCAATGAACTTTGTTCAATTGTTAATAGACCTTATCGTAATTAATTTTTTTGTATAGAACTTCAACGTAATTCTCTTTATGACTTTTTGGTGCTTGCAGATTCTCAAAGTGTTATGTTGTCATCTTACATATTTTTCCTTTTCTTTAAGAAAAAGTCTACTTACATTATTTTGGGACAACGTAAATTCAGTTAGAATACATACGCTACCATGCAATTTCAAAGCCTGCACGCAGCAGGCTACCCCAAACTTACCATTACTGAACTAATATGTAGGTTTTTACCTTGGTCCCGGTAGCATGGAAATGATTGTGCTCCATGGCCTGGAAAGTGCCGTAGTTACATATTTATCTTGGAACTGGACATAAAATGTGCAATAGCACCATACGTTGAAGATTATAGGGTAAAAGAGCAAATTGGTCTTTAAACTATAGGTTTAGAAGTGTTTGGGATTCTAAACTTATTTTTGGTGCAATATTTCTCTTCAACATTTGAAAATGATGCAATCTGACTACTATTATTAATAAAAGTTAACTTTGACCGTTAATTGATCAAAAAATGACAAAAAATGACCTTAAAAATTATAGAAAAAGACCAAAAAATTACAGAGAGATTCAAAAGATTACAAAAGGGACCAAGAAAATTTTATCGGCCCTTTTTTGTTTTATAATTTCTGAAATCGTTTTCTAATTAACTAACAGTTAAAGTTAACTTCTATCAACGATAGGTTGGGTTGTATCATTCTTAAAAGTTGAAGAGGAATATTACACGAAAATGAGTTTAAAATCCTAAACACCCATAACTATATACTTATAGTTTAAGGGTCAAATTGCTCTCTTACCCATTCTTCGTCACAATGATTGGGACGTTTCAATTTTGCTTTTATCTTTTCTGCAGATTTGCTGTGCACAAGTTGTAGAAACGTTGGACGTGTTTTAAACTCTGGGATGTGAAGCCGACGGGTCCTCGAGGCCGGTAGATCTTCTGTTTATTGAGGAAGTGGTAGTGTGATGTCAACATATATTTAATTAATATTTGTTCTTTCGAGTCAGGAAAGAATTTTTCTTCTTAGAGTCAGTATAGTGTGTATTAAGCATGGATATAGGTGTATGATTGCTGCCCTCTTTTGACAAGTCAAAATTTTGTACCAGTAATGTGCACGCTTGCGTCCACTTCAATAAAAAAAAGAGCAAGACGCGTGATTATTGGATCTTTACATATTGCACAAAAATGACTGATTTGATGATGGCTTAGAGCTGTGTTCATGCTGTCAGTGAAGAGGATAGATATTTTGAGCCCAAATGATTTTGCAAAATCAATAATGTGTAATATGAGATAATATAAAGTCACATTATTCGTTAGTTATTAATGTTGTTGTCCTGTTGAAAAGTTAATAACAGTACAATCACGTATAGCTGCATAGTTCTAATATGGAACTTACAATAACTAAGAGGATGGTGATGGCCATGGCCCAAAAGGAAAGAGAGGAGAAAATGACGGGGAAGACATTTTTAAGGCATATGTAAACAGATCAGGACCTGCTATGTCGGCAAGCGTTGGATTTTCTTCTATTCAAACGTCTTTCTTGGATTGAAGCTTCCGTTTAATACTAAATTGCTGCTACGGAGCGCCGTTGTCGTCCTATGGGCTTTTATGTTACTTGCAATGTCATCTTTTCAATTGGTGGCTATATTCGATGAGCTGTGGAATTACCTGTTATAGAATCTGATTGTGATCGTGTAACCACTACTAGTATCTATAGCTCTTTGATTTTAATGTTTTCTCTTTTTTTCTCTTGGGCAAGAATTTTGATATTTTTTTCTTTTCAATCTATATATTTTAAAAATTTAATATACGTCATATTTTTTTTACAGCTGATTGAATAAGTTTTTTTAAAGAGAAAATGATAATTAGAAAACTTCATAAGAACACTAATAACAATTACAGACTTTAAATTATTAAAATTTTAATAATAAATTATAGTCATGGGAAATAAACAAAAGATGCTTAGGAATATTTGTAACGTCAACTGAAAATTTATGTGTCAACCTTGATTTTTGCTATCAATATATAAATAAATTATTTAAAAAAAATCAAAAAAATACACTTAAGATTATGTGTAAGGGTGGTAGAAAATTTATGAGAATAAGTTGGAAATCACAAGCTAATCACTTATAATTTTTTGCTATCTCTTGAAAAATCAATAAAATATATATGAAAATATTTATAGTATTAGTTGAGAGTTTATAAAGTTATATTGTAAATCTTAAATCAATCAATAAAAATAATTTATTGCAAGTAAGAACCTTAATTTGTTATTGGGATTTCAATAATTTAAAATTTTTAATTATTATTAATGTTTTCACGGAATCCCTAATTATTATTTTCGTTTTTTTATGAATAAAGACGAAGCCTAGGCTAGCTCAATCTAATTTTTAATCTAATACAGTCAGACCATTTTCGCTTTTTTTTTTTAAATTCATATAACATACGAACAACTAGCTCAATCTAATTTTTGAAAGGTGAGATAGATTGCTTCTCGCCAACAAATCATCTCGTGACTTTTTTGAGCAAAAATAACTCATGATTTATTAATATTTAATAACGCGATTTACGCAATTTTTGCAGATAGTTTGAGGATTAGGCCGATGTCACATGTGAACAGTGAACACCATAGATGGAAATGCAATTAGACGTCCCTAATTGGTTCGTTCGAGTTCCAATAACTGGATTCCAAGTACCACCGTTTTCAATACAAGTTTTTTTAACTGAAGCACACAAATCGTTTGGCCAAAAAAAAAACACAAAATAAAAAATATATAGTTAGTTAAAATTTTAATGTTTTTTAACATTACTCATAATTAATTATTGATTATTTGTTAAATGGAAAGTAAGTAATTTTGATATACTCTTAAAGGAAGTTTAGGTGAGAAGTTAATTATTACTCTTACAATTTCATGAAGTGACTTATACATTGAAATATAGGATTTTACAAAACATGCCTTATATTTAAAAAGGAAAAGATTTACTCCTTTCGTTAAAAAATATAAAGTATTTTTAATCGAATCTTACTCTCAATAAAGTAGTTATTTAGTTTCTAACTAACCCTATCTTTTTATATTTATTCTTATTAAATACCCTACAATAAATATAAAGTCATTATTAATAGAGATACTTAAAAAAAATAATGACTACACCTCAAAAAACTAAAAATGTCTTACATTTTTTAACATCTAACTCCTCAAAAAATACCTTACATTTTAAATGAATGGAGTAAGTAGTTAACTTGATACATTTAATAACTTTTATCTAATAAAATCACTATAAATGAATTTTAATGTGTTAATAATATTAATAATAAAAAATTATTAATTTAATTGAAAATAAGTACATTAAATATATAAATTTTTCTCTAAATAATATATAAGACAACTACCTTAAACATGCAAAATTTGGTATATAAATCTTTTTATTTTAAAATAAGAGAAGTATTCCCTCTAATTTTAAATATAAGATCCATTTGGGGGCTTTGATTTGATTCTAAATATAAGTCCCATTATCTTTTATATTCTATATTAAAATTTTATTTTCCATAATATCTCTATTTATTAGGATATTTTTATCTCTATGTATTAATTTTTAATCATTAAATGGTAAGTTTATCTTTTTTAAAAAAAGTGTTACAAATAATCTACTTACTCCTTCCTCAAGTCCTATTTTCACCAAAAACTACTAAAAACTTTAAATCTCATTGATTTTATTTTAAAATTTAATAAATTTTTACCTCTATTTTTTAATTAAAAATAAAAATAATTTAATAATTTTTTAATAATAAAGATAAAAATGTAAAAATGAATGTAAAAAATAATGGAATGCCATACAAATATGATTAAAATTAATATTTTTTCTCATAGGAGTATTTTTTTTAAGATTCTACAAGTTAATTACTCGGTCAAGTGACTTTGGCCAATATCAACAATCCACAGTTCACAACAATCATTAAGAGTAAGATTTTATATATAAACAGTTAATCAACTTGGAAATATCAATTTGTCCAAAAAAACGCAAGGTTGGAAATATCAAGATTCACAAGCTAGAATTACCCTGCCTGTCGGCCGAAGCGTCAAATGTGGGCCAAAGGATGCAAATACACTCGTCAATGGCCATTCTCAACTTCGTTGCACTCCAGTCGTCTCTCTCAAGTCTCAGCATTCATTCTATTATTTCCCAACTGTCACTCACATCTCTATTCTGCACTCTCCCTCTCTTAGCTTTTACCAGAGCTCGTGACTGATTCTAGTTACTGAGAGGGATCTACAACTGAAAGGAGAAGGAGCTTCGTTATACTGAACACGTCTGTTTTAGGTTGGCTTTTTCGATTTCCTGTCATTTCTCTTCTTTTGCTGAAGTTTCTAAGCATGGCATTCGCCTAGCTATGTGTTGTTTCACTGTTTCAACTTCTGTTCCGTTTTTGTTATGGCTCAATGGAGTCAGTTTTTGTTGATGTGATCTTGCTGTTCATTTCAACACGAGTTCACGTTTACGATGTAAAATTTCTAATTCGGAAATAAATTTTGGCATGTTTTAGATGGTGTCGTTGTAGATCTTCATTAGATCTATGAAAGAGAGATGTCCATTACTTTGTGATATTGTTCCCTCTTAAGTTTTGCTGCATGATGCATTCTTGTTGGCATGAAGCTTGTTGCGATGGTTACGAATACCAGCTCTAACCTTTGTTATAGGTTTTGAGAGGAACTTCTATGGTACTGGTATGTAATACAGAAGAGTGAGATATAGAAGCAGCTATCTGGATTCTGTTAAGATCAAGCAATGATCAAGTGACTAAAAAAATTCTGCTTTTGCAGTGCTCTTCTCTCACTGTAAAAAATCAATAATCATATGCTAGAGATTCAAAGTCCTTTTTCATATTTTTAGATTCGTAAAACAGAAAAATATCTTAGTATGTAGATGATGGAAAGGAATTAAATTTGTCTTCAAGTTATTCCAAATATCATGTTGATAAACTCATAAAACTGATAGTTATATAATTAACTATTATCGTTATATATGCCTTATAATTG